GGGATTCCCCTCCCTTTCCTTCCCTTCCCCTCCCCTCCCCTCCCTTCCCTTCCCTCCCCTCCCCTCCCTTCCCTTCCCTTCCCTACCCTTCCCTTGTCTCTCATGTTGTATCCTTCCTTGTCTCTCATGTTGTATCCTCCCTTGTCTCTCATGTTGTATTCTTCCTTGTCTCTCATGTTGTACAGTGCTCGGCATCTACATGTATGTCCCTCTGCAACACAGGGTGATGATCACATCAGTCGGCAACCTGGGATGGTCGACATACCTGAGCATGAAGTCAAGATTTCAAGTTGTGCAATCGTAACCGATCGAGCGTGTGGTGGTGTCTGTTGTATATATTGTTTGATTGCGTCTTTGTTCTCCAAGTGAAAGAGAATGTTTAGTTTTGTTTGTCTGTGGGGGACTGGTTTTGTAAAGGACAAAGGTAAAGAGAAAGTTTTCATTCTGAAGAGCGTTGGGAACGTTTCATCCTTGTTTTGGTCTTTACTCTGTTGATTCCTCTCATTCACCTTTCATCTCAGCAACATTATTCTCTTATAATCATTCGGCTTCGTCTTTGTCGTGCCTGCTCTTGTGTATCCTCGTTGAGCTCGCATGCCCTCATGGCTGCCAGGCAAGCCTTGGGAAGGAGGAAGAGCTGTTCGCGCCCAGTTCAGTACATGAAGACAGTTGGGAGCATGTTGTAGGACAAGGCGAGGAGGAAGCAGACGAGAACGAAGAGGAGGGAGAAGGATCAGGGCATTCCAGAGCAGAGACAATACAGGAGGCGAGAGAACGAGAAGGATTTCAGAGAGTAGCAGGGACAGATGCGAGTCGGGCTGACGGGAGCGAGAAAAAAGAGGAGGGATGAGTAGGAAGCGAAGAGGATTGAAATTCACCTGCTGGACTTGTTGGGAAGGATCGTTCCGTTGAGCAGCTCTCGAGAGCTTTCCCAGGCGATACCTGAAGGATGTGCAGAGTGAGAAGAAGATGAGAAGACAGAAGAAGGAAGACGCAGGAGGAAGAGGAGGAGACAAAGGAAAGGGAGAGGAGGAGGAGGAGAGAGCGAAGCAAGAGAACAAGGGAGAGGAAGGAGAGGAGAGAGAAGGGGGGAGAGGAAGAGGAGGGTGAAGACGGACCGTTGGTGGACTCTTCCGGGAACTTCAACTTTGACTTGAATCTCTTCGTCCTAAGGAGACGTCAAGGTAAAACAATATGTGGATGCGAGAAAGAAGAAGAGCAGGAGCAGGGGCAGGGGCAGGAGCAGGAGCAGGAGGGAAAAGTTTCAATCATCATCTTCTTGGTCGTCGCTCTCATCCGATACAAACTCATC